CTGGGTTTCCTCATTTTTTAAATAGGCTGGTAGACTAGATGTCCAATAAGTTCTACTCCAGCTCATAAAATAGGATTGTAAGACTAATCTAGTTCAATAATTCATTGATGCTATTTTCTAAAAATTAATCTGTCATCCTAATAGTTAAGCAAAGTGTCAGAAAGTGAGGTGTATTTAATCCAACACTTCTAACAAAATTTTTACATTGTTTAAGGAATGTGACAAAGATGAACTAAAAGATATGCACATTTACATATGAAAGATATAGTATATACATACTAAAATATATATGAAAAGTGTTTAATTTATATTTACATATAATTACCATCTTGATCGAGAAAAATAAGTAAACTAAATACAATAATTTTCTCATTTCTCAATTTCTGATCACATTTTTTGCATCATTACATTTCAAAGAAATAGATTTTACCAAATCAAGTCCTCATCCGTTTATTCATGAATTCATTTCATATTATTATTTCAACTAATTCATATAGAGTACCATCAACAATTAGTTGTAGGTACTAAGGATATTGTATGGTAACAGTACAGATGGGTATGGTTCCTGCCTTGCTTCAGCTTAGAGTCTATTGGGGAAGAAAGATATTTAACCAATGATGACATAAAAATATAAAATTTTTGAAATTGTGGTGACAGCCAAGAAGGTAAAAGAATGGGGACCTAATTTGGACTTGGGAGTCAGGAAAGATCTCTCTGAAAAAATGACATTTAGGCTGATGCTCCAGGAGTCAGTAGGAATTCACCAGGTCAGGAGAATGAGAATAAGCATTCCCAGCAGAGGGAGCAGCACACACACAGACACTGAGAAAGGAAAGAGCTCCAGAGACTGGGAACCCAAAAGTCTGCACCTGTGAGCCCAAGTGGAGCCTGGAGATGAAGGCCCTATAGACCCAGTTAAGTATTTCGGATTTTATTTAAAGAACGTTGGAAAATTTTTCAGTAATTTGAGCAAGATAATAATATCATGAGATTTACATCTTTCAAAGAGAACTCTAACACTATATTGTGAATCAACTGAAGACGTGCAAAAGTGAAAAGAACACCAATTAGAGACTTGGCAATAGTTTCAATGAGAGAAAACTGAACTAGGGTGGTAAGAATGGAAATGGAGAAAAATAAAGGATTCAAGATACATTTTGGAGAACAGACCAAACTCAGTAATAGAATAAATGTAAGTAAACAAAGGAGAGGTAATTGCACAGGTGGTAATCTGCTTTATGGAATGTGCAGAAGGGTGGATGAAGATGGCATTCATTGACTTGAAGAAGACCAGATGAGAATCATGTTTGGGCATCTAGAGGTCAGTCTTGATCATGCTTATAAGTCATTTTAAATAGACAGTTGGATGTGTGAATCTGAAGCTCTCAAGAAAGCCCTGGAGAAATAAATTGGGAATCATCAGCATACAAGTGATATTAAAAGGTGTGTGTGTGTGTGTGTGTGTGTGTGTGTGTGTGTGTGTGTGTGTGTGTGTGTGTGTGTGTGTGTGTGTGATGAGAAAAGAATGACGGTGATATTAGATGAGGGCCCAGAGCTAGTTTTAAAGGAATTTAAGCATTTAATTTTGAGAGAAAAGGAGGTGTCAGCATATAGGAGTTAGAGAAGAACAGCCAAAAAAGGTGAAAGGAAAAAAGAGGGAACATGGTGTCACAGAAGCCAAGAAAAGAAGGTGTTTCCTGAAGGTCATCATGGTCAATATTGCTGAATATCAAGTAGTAATGGAGTTTGAGAATGGTTCATTGGACCACAAACGCAATTTAAATGGAATAGTGGAGACAAAAGCTGATTGATGAGTACATGAGGTGGGTTGAAAGGATGAGAAATTAAAGGAATTAAAGGAAGCACATACAGTTAACTTTTTTAAGAAGCATGCCTGGGAAAGGGAGTAGAAAGAGTGGTAAATAAAAGATGGTGAATTAAAGATGAGTGAGATCAAAGCATGTTTGAGTGCTGTTGGGAAAACTCCTTTAAAAAGGAAGATGATCAAAATTCAATAGAGAGGGAAGATGAATAAAATGCGGACCAAGTTGTGTCACTCCCATGATTAGAATGAAATACATATTCCTCAAGCTGCTGTACAAAAGCGTCCTTGAAGGCTCCTAGTTAAATCCGGCCTCATCTCATGATACCCTTCCCTCCTTTCTCTTCCTTGGGCACACTAAGAATTCTTCCAGGAATTCCAGCTTTAGAACCTTTGCACAAGCTAGATCCTCTTCCAGGAATTCTCTCCCTTCTGCTGTTTGCCTGGCTGACTCTTTTCTCTCATTCAAGTCTCAGTTGAAATGTCCTTCCTGACCATCCACTGAATCCAAAGCCATCTCCCAATGTCTGGTTCCTTCTTGTCATCCAGGTCTCAGTTTCAGTATCCTCAGTGAAACCCCTCCTGATCACCCAATCTAAGTTAGTAACCCCACCCCCATCCCCACTCAATCACTCTGTTAATTTTAGCACAGCACTTCTTATGTCACATTCTCTTGTGTATGTACTTGCTTATATGTTTTTGGTATGTCACTTCCCTCTAGAATGTAGACTCCATTAAAGCAAGGATCTCATCTTACTTGCTCTATGCCATACCCTCAGAATGTGCGACAGAGTATGGCATATAGTAGGTGCTCAATAAAAGTTTGTTGATTGGTCGAATGGTAAGTTTAATTTATGAGTCAGTCTTCTGAGAAGACATCTAGAAATTAAAAGCATATTATTATAAATTTTAATCAAATTCTGCACAAATATACAGGTAACAGATGAGGAGATTATAGTAGATAACATTATTTTGAAAATATTCTAGAGGATTTCTTTTTAGTAGATAATCTTAATGATTGTATATCTTATAATAATATTAACTTTAACTTTCATCCCTCAGGTATATACTACCTAAATAGCAAGAGAAGTTTTTCCAGAAGTACTTTGCTGTTAGAAAGTTGCCAGTCTGGTATAAAAAAGTTACTATAGATAATCCATTTGATAGATAGAACATTGTATGAAATCAAGAGCGTATTCATTCAACAAACATTTATTAAGTCATGCACTATCCTAGGCATATGGGATTCAAAAATGAATAAAATACAGTAGACTGATCTCTTTTAACTCAAAGGTGAGTGAGTGAATAAAGATACAATACTTAAAGATACTGTGCTTTAAAAAGGCTATAATAGAGTTTGAACAAAATAATAAGGGGTCAGTTTGTTTTAACCCTTCTGGGCCAGGAGATCTCACTCATCTGAATTTAGACACTATACAAATGCTTCCATTCTTTCTAGGGGAAATCATAAATATGAAGTTCAGTTACCCTGATATATAACACCTTGCTTCAAATCAAGTGAAAGCTTTTTTCATAAAGAAGGAAGAGAGGGAAGGCTATTTTTCACGCCAGTGTTTCAGTGGAGCAATTAAGCTCTGACTGTAACAGGAGGAGGCTGCCGTAAGAAAAGAAGCACACCTAAGAAAAATGTTGTGCTCAGTGGTTGTGCACTAAGTGGTCAGCTTATTATTTCTGGAAGGGGCTAAAGATTAGAAAATGACTCTTCCTGAGTTGTAAGGGGCCTGTAAAATTGAGTAATTCAGAAAGTACTTCAAGGGAATACTGGAGAAAATAATACAAAAATAAGTAGCAATAGAAATTGTGTTGAGCTGAGCATGACCTTTGGAAAGAGAGAGAAGATTTGCATATCTAAAAAAATCTCATCACAGTCCTCTCTGAAAGATTAAAATGATTTCAATATTTTCCCATTTACTTAATGCAAACAGGTATGGCTAGCTCTGACAAAACGTCACATTTCCTACTTAGGTGATATTATGCAGAGACAGAACATCAAGTTTATATTGGTTGCTCAAAGTCATTCTTAAAGAAGAAGAAGAGCTGAATATAATGATTGGAAACGTTTGCATGCCAGAGATCCTTTTCTTCCAGACATTTCTTTGGGCTTATAGCCTCTCTCAGAGGATTGGAAAGCACTATTATAAATATGCCTCATTCAAACATTAATGAGGATGCAAATCATTCACCTTTTGAAAATTGCAGTATCTATTTAGGTGTCATTTATCAGCTGTTCAATGGAAAGAATGAGGCAGAAACAGAGGGAGAAATATTTCTAAGTAAGTCCAGAACTTTCTGGGTGAAAATGAAGTATTTGTCTATGTATTACTTCATGTTTAGTTATTACAACAGAATTCAACTATTTTACCAATTAGTATAAAATTTAGCACATAAGGTAATTTCCAACATATTTTGAAATCCTTAAGAGTAAAATATCCTAAAACTAATAAGTAAAAGCAGCATAAATAAAAATTCACCAACGTTAAACTAGTGGGAAATATTTCTGTATCTTCCAAAGAAAGCTTAAGAATCATTAATGCAATTTTAATTCTTTTATCGATATTTTTTTGCCATAATAAAGCAGTGACACTTACATACTAAAACATAATATAGAATGCTGTGGCTGCATTTTATTTTGCTCAGTGTGTAACATCTAGAAAGCAAGAGGCTATTTAAAGAAAAGTATATTATTTGAAAACATCTCACACTTGAAATAAAATGCTGTTTTACCAGAAATTTCCAAATAGAAAATGAAAAGAATTTGAATTCTGCTTTTTTTTCGCTTACCATCAGTCTATTCCAACACTTGCAAGTGTCAACTTTAAACTTCTTGTTCCATCTATGTTATGCAGCAAAGGCCTTGTTCCTTTCCCCTATTTCACATTGAGCAGGAGCAAGTCATTTCTAGATGACTCTGAATTCAGTCCATTTTGCTGCATTTTTAAGTAAAAAAAAAAAAAAGGTAAAAAATGCCCTGCTTTAGTATGACTGACCAATTGTAATATATTTTACAAGTTTGAACCCCAAAAATGTGATGTGCTTTCAAGTTATTGCTTAAATTGTCTCAGGCTACAGGTTTTAAGGTCACATTATTAATTTTCCCACATTTGTAATCTTGACACATTTTATATTTAATCTTTTGTGAAGAATAATTTGTCTTTACCTTGAGCTGTGTTTGTGCTAGGCCATAAAATCAGGTGGTGACCCAGTGGAATCAATGAGGACATTAAAGAGACTACAGAAACTGGTTCGGACCAAGAAAGCCAGGGTGCCAAGTCTGGATGAGACGAAACCCACGTTAATAAATCTCCGTAAGTAAGAACTCAATGAGCTGCTAAAAATTCTTTGAGGAGGAATTGATGTAGCCTATATTAATGGAGGCCATTTTGATAAGGCCTTAAAGTAATCATTAAACATTAAGTTCTTTTATTTTTTTGTTGCCAAGTTATTTGTAAAACAGTATCTTCATCCTATTCCTGAATTTCACCTTGTTCCTATGCTCCACTCTATTTCTCCTTCCCTTCAGGACCAGGCGCATGGAGACAGTGAGAGAAAGCTGTGCGTGAAGCTCAGCAAGAGAATAAGGATCAGCAGTGTCCCCTGTTCCCGTTCCTCGGCCATAGAAAACAGTATTCTTTAATTTTGGTGTGAGGGCAGCAGATTGGCATGTCGTGACATGCGACTTTTATTTTCATTTATTTACTTACAATAATGCCCTATTAATCATAATCTTTTGTTTACACCAGTTAAACATTTGAACTTAAAGAGATTCAGTGATATGGTACAATTTACTATGGGTGATATATATTTCTATTTTCTGTAACTGTTTTATATATTGCTAGTAATTTCATTAGATCCTTCACCACATGTAAATATAGGTCTCACTAATCAACTTTATAGTATTAAAGATATACCTTTTACTTTTTTCTCAGTTGTCTTCTTGCTCTTCTAAAATATCCCCTATGAGATACACTGCATGCATAAATCTCTTTGCAGATTGATATTAAATAGAAAATTTTAGAAGACCAATAGGATTTTAGCGCATATCCACTGAGATTTCATTCTTTTAAGTAAGGCAAAGATTCCATTTTCTTCCTTATGATGCTTTCTTATACACATGGCCTCAAAAAATTAAAAATATGTAAAAATAGAAGCATACCATACTATGCTTATAAGATGTGGGGAATTTTTTCTAATTTGTAATTTTTTTCAAATATCTTTCAGTATACTACTTGCATGTGGCTTCCAGTTATTCCAGTCAAAGTGACTTTATCATTATATATGTCTTCAAAAAAATCTGGGTAAATCTGTTTTTACAAAACAAATCATTAATTTACAAAAGACTCTTTAAAGAAATGCAGCTGTAAATTATTTTGTGAAATTAAATGACTTCCTGGTTTAGCCTGTGGTGTTCATTCATTTCTATTATATAAAGGGAAGTATAATATAATTTCTACATGTGCCAAATTATTAGACACTTATTTCTTAACTTATTTTTCTTTATCTTTCAGAAGATGAAGATGAAACATTGATTTCCTGTGTGAAATTAGCCAAATCTCAAGAAAAGAAAGTTAGTAATGTTAGCACGAGGAGGAAGGAAGAAATGGAGATGAGATTGGATTCTATTTCTCCATCACTGGTTAGATCCAGCACTTCAACTGCATGCAGCTTGGCAGAAATGTTGTCCCACAATGAAGGTGAAGTTCAGATGTGGAACAGCTGGAAGCCTTTCCCGGAAAACCCCCTCTGGCCATGTGTTGATTTCCCAATCGCCCAAGCTGAACCCTGGGACAACTGTTCCCGCTGCGCTCACCACCTGCCTCTCAAGTCTTCTAGTACAGATATGGGTCTCCCACATTCTTGGGTAAGTTTGTAAACTACGGAAATGTACTGTCTTATCTGGATATTTGTACTGGCAGGAAATAAACAGATAATGAAAGTGCTAAGTAGTCAATTTTATCAGTGTCAGGAAAGTTACCAGAGCTAGAGTTGTCTTGCCAAAAAGTAGTGCAGCTGTTGTGACTTCTGCTATCATGTTACTACTGCATATATTCCTTTGTGTTCAAATAAACTACTGTGTAATATTTTCCAGGGATTTCTTTTTAATTGAAGGACGACTTTGGATGTTGATTCAGATCAAGAAAATGTGCGTTGAATAGTCTAAATTATTGCTGTCGTCATGAAATTTCACTGACAAATAATAGCTAATTTAAATGAGTATTTTCTTTGGGCCTGCCATTCTCCTAAGGACTTTACATGTATTATTTCATTTAAATCTCACAACAACCCTATAAGGTAGGGAGTGTTATTCTAAAACTAACTCCCCCCTGTTTTACAATTGAAAAAAATAAGGCACAAAAAAGTTAGTGGAAAAGAAGTGGAGCCAAGATCTGAACCTACACAGTCCTCTGCTGGGGATCCTGTTTTTAGCTTATACTTTATAGTGCTTCCATATACTAAGCTAAGCCCTAAGGCTGTACTGGTGCAAGGGAAGGAGTATGGACTCTGAAGTTAGACAAATTGGGGTTTAGATCCAAGCTCTGCTACTTGTTGAGCTTGGGCAAACTAATGAAACCTTTTAATCTTAATTTCTCAATTGTAAAATGGAAATAGTAGTATTAAACCACATGAGGTAATTGAGAAACTAAAATTAATAACAAATATTCTAGGACTTGAGTGACTATTATTTCAACTTGATTGTAAGTTAGTTAAGGCACATATTGTGGCTTTATTTCTCTACATCTCATGGTCGTTTGTGTTCGTAGTGAATGAATGGGACAACTCTATGTATCCAGGAACTCTACTCTATACCATTTTGTTCTAAGAATCAGTCTCTCATTAGACATAGGCTATATTTCATGGTGTATTAGTCATCTCTGAAGAGGCTTCTTCTCTCTTGGAGTCCTTTTCACCTTTGAAGATTTGTGTATTAAGTTAGGTCTTTGCAGACTAGAGCTCAAGTAATCTGTGTTCAGAGTAGCACATTAAATATTACAGGTGTCTAGTGGCAGACATGGAACTGATGAAACTGTCCAACATTAATTATTCTTAGGAGTGTCTTTCCCACTTCTTTAGTCTTCATCTTCTCTTCTGGGGCTTTTGAACTTTGCAGGCTTCTTCTTGGAGCAGTTTCTTAGAGAGTAGCTGGTAATATAACTAAGAACTACTTCTGAAGACTCTTCCTGACAGCTTCAGAGTCAGGATCAAGAATAATGACTACTTGGCAAGTGGCAAAGCTGGTATATAAGAATCTAAACACACATCTTCAGAGCTTCCTTTGAGAATTAGATCTGGGCGCCTTAACTTGGCATTTCTGGATTTCAGCAGTCTGGCTGCAATCTAACATTTCAGCTTTGTCCACTATTTCTTCCTTATGCTGGACTGCCAAACTGAATGATTTGATATTCCTAACGACTATCTGACACTTTCCTGCCTCTCTATCTTTGTGTTTATGTATTGGCCTCTGCCTAGTATGTTATTCTCTCCTTTAAAACCATTATCCCATCCCTTAAGATTCAGATCAAATACTTTGTCCTACAGAAAACCTTCCTGGGTCGTGCCAGATAAAAGTAATATCTCCTTCCTTTGAACTTCTAGATCACTTAAGGGCATTATTCTTTCATTATACATTCATCAAACGCGTATTGGCATCTACTGTGTGCCACTCACAATATTAGACCCTGAGGATACAAAGCTAAGCAATGTGTACACTGTGCCATCTTCGTGGAGCTTACCGTACTCCACCCTGTAGTGGAATTAGTGGGGAATTTGTTTATTTGCTGTAAGTAATTTACCTTTGTATCCTCTACAGCCCCTATAATGTTATGGGTACTCAATAAATATTTCAGTAACATTTGCTGACCAAATGAATGGAGTTTTAGAAATCAATGGACTTTGTTACCATAGATCTAAATAAAACATTTCTTTTCATTCTTCTAACTGTTCTTATATGAATCCAGTTATACATAAACTCAGTTAATGTGTGTATATGAGTGTTTGTGAATATGTGTGTAGGCTTGGGTATATATACAGTAATAATGTTTTTCTTTTTTACTTAGGTGGTTTTATCTATTTTAGTACATAACTAAATGATTAAGTAAGTGAGTTTTTCCTGCAGAAAGTCAAACATATCTGCAGAATGCTCCCAATTTCAGATGATAATGTTCAGCATTAGTGACGGGAAAACCTCAGTGGATTTGGAGAGAGGTTTCAAGAACATGTTAGAGTTAAATTGGTTTGGTCAACTTAATGAGACCACTTACACTCAGGGATTTGAGACATAGAGTGAAAGAAGCTGGATGAGTGCAAATTATTATTTTTATATTCTACACATATATTCTATAATAATAACAAGTGAGGAATATCCAGTTTCATTTTAGCATAGCTGATATTTTTTTCTGTAGTAATTGCAGGGTTATTATTTGGGTTATACTTTAACTTTCATTCTGTAGAAGGTAAAAAAGGCAGATAGTGTTGAGGGAAAAGACGTGCTTCTGAAATGAGTGTTACTTACTATCAATGACCGGTAGTCAGAGGTGACATTTTTGCAATTTTAAAGGGTAAAAGTGTGACTGGATTTTTTTTAATCTACCAATATATGCAGATATGCTGGAGCTGGGCCTAAAGTCCACATGTCAGGGGAAATGAAACCAATTCACAAAGACACTAGTTTCTCCTTGACTTTAGAAATTTCAGCAATAGTAGATTCCATTGTCTTTGATCCCATTATCAAATCAGAGTTCTGAAGTAGTCTAAACCTGACTTGTCTTCCAGCAAGTCCTTATTCACCCAGTTCCAACTCCCTGCTAAGCCCACTGTAGGCTCGCACTCTCAAGGCTGGTGCTGATAGAGCTGGGTTTAGTGCCAGCTCTGACATCACGGGCAGAATGAGCTTCAACAAACTCTTCACTCTCTTTAACCCACTAATTCCAGTTCTGCACCTTGGTTTCAGACCCTACTCATCCCCTTTCCTCTGAGTGACTTTTTACATACTGAAAACACCCCATTTGTAAAACAAGGTATTGATATCTACCATGCTGCACTGTTGGGAAGATTAAATAAAATGGTGTCAGGACTCAGTCAATAGTAGGTAATATTTATACCAAAATCAAAGAATATAGAGGCTCCTGCTAGGATCAGAAAGAAGCAACATTGTATTCAGTTGAGATACTATAAACAAACTGAATCCAGACAGGGAAATGTATTATTTGTGAAGGGCTCTTCACAGAAGTCAACAGGAGGAGAACGAGACACACATAGATGTTTAACGTGCAGTTTAGTTATTTTTAAGATCTATGGGATCTGGGGAGTGGGGAAAGTTATATGATTATGGAATCGATATAAAGTGAGAAAGGTAAGAGATCAGATTTATGAAAGTGTATATGCTACAAGAGAAATGTGAAAGAAAAAACTACTTAAGGATATAGCTCTTTTCTAATATCTGAGGTGAGTGGTGTTGAGAGGGGATTTTAGATGCATCTTAAGAAAGGTAATAGTGGAGGTAACCAAAAATAATATTTGAAGCCAAGTGTTTAGAATCAATTTACAAGAAGAGTGATTGAAGGGTACTTATGAAGCTCTGCATGCTAAGAGCTTGAAACATCTTAACAAAAAGAGGACAGTGAACCACTGGCTTGGTTGGGAATAAAGGCAAGAAAGAATAAAGTTTGTGTGTTGCAAAGGAGATGAGGCCATCTTTTAATATAATATTACGATAAGAGCAAACATATTTTTCTTTGGGATAATTTTTCAGATTTATAAGAAGGATAATTATAATTATTTTTATAATATTAAGAAATAGAAGTAATCTTGATATGAAAAAGGGGCGCACATATCCATTTGTCCCTTCAAATGTCTAAAATATTTTGAAATCTATTTTATAAAAATAGTGTGATGTGTTTAAAAAGTGATAATAATAAAAGCTCTTTCAGGAAGAAGGAAAATCAAAGCCCTGAAAGAACAAAACAGAGATTCAAGTATAGAAGAATTCAAAGGCAGTATAGATTAAAAAATGATAATAATGACAAAACCAAATTACATAAAAATCATAGAAGAACGAAGTTTCTATACAGAATTGCAAGGTGAGAAAATAAACAAAGCTCTACTTAAAGCATCTTAAAGTGCATAAGAAGAGGATCTCATCCTCTGAAAATTGAAGGTCTTGTTGGAATATTACATGAATACGCCAAAAGAGAAAGTGTGGATAATGGAAAATTTCTTTACAGAACTGTTTCAGTAAGAGGAACAGGATGTGTGGTAATGCTAACCAAGAAGTAAAGGAACAAATGATTTTATAATTAATCTTTCAATTCAAATGAGGAGTAGCGGGTGCTCTAATTATTGACGTGGGAAAATGGTCTTGGGACACGTGGCCCCACTGCTAAGTGCTGTGAGAGTTTTAATACTGCCCAAGAAAACGACTGTCTATGGGAGAGAGATGACAAAACCAGGATAAGCTATTTGTGCCTGTCTTCTACTTTGTCTCTCTATTCTCAACCATGGCAATCTCTCCCAGGCTCTGACCCTAGTCTACCTCCTTCAATCAATATTATATGTCATTATCAGATTAATCTACCAGATTAATTTGCTTTACTAATCTGCCTGATTAATGATTCTAGAGCTCAAACCTAATAATGTTACTGCTCCTCTCACAAAACTTCAAATGCCTCCCTAACACCTACAGGGTCAAATGCAAACTCATTCATTCACCTAACCTGCCTACTAACTAGATCCTCACAAGTCTCTTTCACACACACACTCAGCTATAGGCAAAGTGATACCATCCTTTTGCCAAACACAATGATTCTTTTCCCATCTTCATAGCTTTGTTTAGACTGTTTCCTCATTTTGGCCTTCCTTTCTTCTCTACCTATTTGATGAATAGTATGGAAGTTTAAAAGTGTAGATGGATGAGTAAGAATCCATGGTATACACTTTAAAGAAAGAAACTATACATATGAAAAGGAATAAGGATTGAGAGGACCAGTAAAAGGAGAAGGAGGCGCATGGTTAAGAGAAAGGGCAGAATTAATTTCTTAGATTCTATTATCATTTTCTTTGTACATTAGTGATTTTAGAATCCTACAAAAATCCTTGTGGTCCCATTGATGGGGGTATTGTTTTTGGCCTGGTGAATAAGACACACTAAGAAGACTGCTCACAAATCCACCCAGAGGAAGGCAGGCTGTGAACCATCAGTGCGTAATTTCTTCTAGTTTAACACCCTTGTGTCCAAGTCTGACAGCAAAAACCATTTGTTAGAACAGTTTTAAACTTTTATCTGCTTACACTGAAATTGTGGCAGTATGGAAAGAGAACAAGTTTCAATGAATAGATTTGGACAACTTATGAAAAAGAAGTCAGAGTCAATGATAATCTGGACTGATAAATTCAAAAGGAAATAGGAAAATGTGATACAAAAATACCAAAATATATCTACACTTACTACACTCTGCACTGACATTAATAAATTTGAGAATCAAGATTCTAAAAATAATTTTAAGAGCCTAAATGAACAAGAACAAATAATTAATTATGAGTATTTTACATAACAAGTTTTTAATTATAGCCAATATAATGTTTGATGGAAGGAGAATTAACATTTACCCAAGAGACGAATTTGAAAAACAGGAGATGCTGCAACAGCTTATTCATTTATTCATTCACTCATTCATTCATCTACTCATTCACTCATTAGCAAATTCATGTCAAGTGGCTCCTAAGCGACTTAGTCTATGAATGTGGGAGCATAGATGTATGTGTATGGGAGGATGAAAAATCTACCATTTCCCATTTATAATGAGAGTTTATGGGGTCTTATTAAAAGGAAAAGATAAAAAAGTATAATAAATAATCACAATTCTTGGTATAAAAATTCACTACGGTGGCAAACACATTGCAGTACTTGTATATAAAATAATCCTGGAAAAGATCTGACCAGATGTACAAACACATTTTATATTTTAAAAAAAAGAGCTTATAGAAGTAACAAATTATGAGATATTATAATAGTATAAGATATGAGATTTATGGAAATTATTTAGGTTGAGTTTAAGGAAAATAAATTGCAAACGTAAAAAATGTTTACATGTCTTTTCTAATAAAATCTTGTGTAATAAAAATAAAGATAAAATTAGAAAATGTATTTGCTCTGTAAAGTGTGAAGTATTATTCTAGAATGCCAGGTTAACTACGGATATTATGAAATTAGACTTTTGAGGCAGAGTAATGTAGAATGTAAACCAGTCTAATTATTTGGGTTGATGTTTGGCTTTTCCCAATTACACAAACCTCATGCATATCAGTGAGAATAACAGACCTCTGGTCTAGTTCTAGAACAGTTACAGACTTCATGAATTGCCCTAAGCGTTTTGCCCTCTTCTCTCTGTATTTTTTTTTTTCTCTGTGCTTATTTACTCAAGTGCTTCTTTACTCAAATTAAGGAAAAAGTTGAATCGGTAGTCCCTACAATAAAATCTTTCGAAAGTCATCATAAACACATCATTTAGAATAGTTCTGATGATAATGAAATAGGATCTATGATAATCAGTTATAACTACATTTTGACTTCCACCGACAAGTTGAAATTTGTTTCATTGGATCCTCAAGTGGAAGGAGGAGGACAATGAACGTCAATCTGAAGGGGGCCCGATTATGCTTTTGACCATGAAAGACCTAAAGCGCCTCTTTACTTACAGCCTAACTCTTAACATGGTTCAAAGCAAATCACCAAAGCTGGACGTTGACCCTTGGGAAGAGAAAGGCCTGATGTTATAACATTTCATATAATGAGCCTTGGAAAATACACCAAGTGTTGGTAGATTTTCTTTTGCGGCAGAGAAACAAGCTCTTAATTCAAATATTGCTATGCAAGCTAAAGATAAAGTCATATTCTGAGTGTGTAGCACGGTGTGTTGGAGGCTGTGTTATATATCAAAGGAGCCCAGGTCAGAGCCGGGAGAGTCAGCTGTGAGCTCAACTCTGTCACTTACTAGGATTTCTTTAGGTCAAGTTGCTTAATCTCCGTGGTCTTCTGCCCCCTCACCTTTAGAATGAGGGAGAGCTATCAATGATTTTTTAAGGTTCTTTTTACCTTCAATACTTTGGGCTGTGAGGGCACAGGAGGAAGATAAATTCTGTGAGCAGAAAGAGATTAGTAACTAGATTTTCTTTCAGCTTTTTCAAAGCAGCTCTTTTCTCCTTCTTCAGATGTCCATTGTTAACCTTATTTCTATCATTTTTTTTCTTTACATAAGCTATTTTAGGTTTTGGGGTTTTTTTTTTTGTTTTCCTTCCTGACCAACTGCACTTCCTGTGTCCCGGCTACTTCCTCTCTCCCTCATGTTCTGAACCAGCAACTATGTATATGAATACAGCCTTCATTTGGGAGACTGCCAGCTTCTCCTGGCCATAAAAACTTCATGAACCAAAATGTCTACATTTCCATTCTCAGGAGCTAAGAAGGCTCCTGCCGCTCAAAAAGAACACTTGTAAAAATCCTTTGAATGCCGTGTCAAAGGACTCAACTCTGCTTTGAAAAATTGGTGGGTGAAGTTTAAGTAAGATTGTAGAGGAGGGCAGAAGAGCAGGGCTATGCAGTGTAAAGAGTGCTGGGTTGAAGTGAGACATCCTCTTTCGCCACCATCATCCACCACACACACACAGTAGGTGTCACCTTGAGTGGTTCATGCCTTTGAGATCTTGTTCTGATCATGCAGACATTATATTGACTTCATGAAGTCAATATAATCATGGCTTTCTTTGACTTAGCACTTGATTATATTGCAGGTGCTTTTATATATGCTATCTTTGTGTTGTGATTCAGTAAGGTGGTATTATTATCCCCATTTTAATGATAAAAATCTGAAGCTCAAAGAGGTTAAATAATTTATGCGATGGAACAGTAGGTGGTGAGCTGGATTTTAAGTCCAAATCTGTAAGAGTTTTCCTACAAAGTTTTCCTACAAAAAGCATGGCTTTGTAACTTTTGAGACTAGGCTAGTAACTTACCTGTGCTTTCACATCTATAAAAATGAAGACATTAGTTCCTAACTTGTAGTGTAAAATGAAATGATGCATGTGAAAGTGCTGATTCAAGGTAGGGGCTTGACTGGTTAATAAATAGAATCCCTGCCTTCGACCAGCAATGTAACTTCTCACATTTTATCTTATACTAGTGCTATGAATTAGACAAAATATTATTGCCATTTTACAGATGGAGAAATTGAGGAACATGAAGATTAAATGAATTACCTGAGGTCCCATGGCAGGTGATGGCAGAGATGATACTGAACATAAATCTTGTAACTCTTAGTCCAGACGTTTCCTATCACTAAGTTGTCTTCAAATTTTTCAGCAGAAAGATGGTAAAGAGGAGCCGTACATGGTGGAAACTCCATGAGTGTTGGAGCCAAATTAGCGTGGCCTTGAATTGTACCCTCATTGCTTACTATCTGTGTGACTAAGTTCCCTGATTTCTTTGAGTTTCAGTTTCTTATCTATTACATGGACATAACGAAGATTCCATGTGGAGTTCTTGTAAGAATTGGATGTAAAGTGTTTAACTGTACCTGACACACAGTTGAAACTTAATGAAGAAGGGCTACTATTTTTAGTGGCAATTATTACTGTTTAATGACAATTTATAATTATGTGTTTAGAATTATTTATCCTTCATTCAATGACAACAGCATAGTGTCTATAATATATCAAGTATTGCACTGGGCTGTGGGGCCGCAAAGATGACTAAGACACATACTTAGTGTTAGGGCCTCACCATCAACAGTTCTCAGCAATTTCATATCATATGAGATAATGTTGTATTAAACATACATTACTAGTTTTCACAAATTTTTAAGATTTTTTTATATAGTTTGTCCATTTTTCCCGGGAGATAAGAAAGCCAGAACTAGGGGCCAACCTGGTGGCTCAGCAGTTAGGTTTGCGTACTCCGCTTCAGTGGCCTGGGGTTCACAGGTTCGGATCCCAGGTGCGGACTGACGCACCGCTTGTCAAGCCATGCCATGGCGGCATCCCATATAAAGTAGAGGAAGATGGGCACGGATGTTAGCCCAGGGCCAGTCTTCCTCAGCAACAAGAGGAGGATTGGCGACAGATGTTAGCTCAGGGCTAATCTTCCTCACAAAAAAAAAAAAAAAGGAAGCCAGAACTGCCTAGTTCAAATGTTTACAGTGAGGATAGGATAAGGCTGCTTTTAGCTTCCTGGAGGTGTTCTGATACCCCACATTTGTGAATCTCTGAGGCATGCAGACAAAAAGAAAGTGGGGCTGGGGGCGCCTGTGTGGGGCTCACCATTGCCCTTTTCTGACCACCCAGATTATCACCATATTAGCAGTGTCTTACATATGTAAAATGATTTTAGCTTTTTAAAACTCCTTTTATATATTTTATCATAGCCATATGATAAAAGCCATATCACATATGCATTTCATGATATTTTATTTCAGAGTCAGAATATAACTCTCAGGTATAACACATCTTTTTCAGAAGAGAATGAAAAATGAAGGAAAGAAATTCATGTTCCTTCTCCTTCCTGGGAAGTTGTAAAGCAAGTGGTTGAATTCACTCTAAAAACCCTTATGAATATTCAATGTAAGATCTTTATGCATCTCATGGTTCCCAGCTATTAAATACAACCATACTGATGAATAATTGGATTAGAAATATGGCTTTATTGCACCTCACCTCAAGCCCAACCCAAACTGAAGCTGATGTCTCACCTGTAGAAAGGGATTTTTAGCCAGGGCACAAAATGTATTAAATTCAGGAACCCATTTATTCATTCACTCGACAATTTGTTTCAGAGTATTTACATTGTGCCAGATAAGGAGGATAAAATCTTGAGCAGAAACAGACACAGTGAACCTCATAGGCCAATGAGAGACAAAAATAGAAATAATCACACAAACATGAAATGGTAACTGTGATAAGAACTATGAGAGTTATATGGTTCTATGAAGGCCTATAATAGGCAGATTTGATCTAGTCAAGGAGTCAGGAAACACTTTCTGGGGTAATGATTGGGCTCAAATGTGATGAAGAAAGCAGGAGTTAACTAGCCAAAACTAGGGAGAACGAGAGAATGGTCAGAATGGCTGGGAGAGAAAGCAGGGAGATGTGGTACAAGGTAAGTCTGAGGAAGAAATCAGACCAGTTATGGCCCCTTAGGCTATGCTAAGTTTTGTTGTTCGTCTCCTAAAAGCAATGGGAAGCTATGCAAGAAGTGTTTTAAGATTTTTTGGTTTGTTTGTTTCTTGTTTGTTGAGAGTGTGAGATATTTTGAAAAGATCACTCTCCATACAGTGACGAGAATAGGTTGCAAGGGAAAAATAGATGCAAGATGATGGTGACTTGAACTATGGTGGTAGAAAGAAGAAGAGATTAATGAAAAACTCTCAGACTCGAAGACTTATGTCCCCAACATACACATTTCTCCAAATGAAAGAAATGTCAGTTTTTAAAGTCATCTTTTGTGATACAAACCAAAAAGCTCCATTCACTTTAGGAGATATGGTTATAGACGACAGCAGAAAAGTGAAACAGTGACATGACTGCACATTCCAAATTTGTCCTTTAATTTTTAAAACTTAGAAGCTCATTGCCACCATAGTGGCTTAATGGAATCATTACCAATGGATAAGGAAATGTCATCCATTTGCCTCTCCCGATTCCACTTGGACACAGGCCATTGTTTCTACAAAGAGTGGCTTGGAGCCATGCAAGTTTCAAGGGAAATTGGCCTTTCAGAGGGGCATACGCATAGATAATGCATATTGCCACCATAAAATCTCTAATGAATATTAAGGGTGGCTTTCATTTGTGGTGATTGAAATGAACTCATAAATTCTCTCTCTAAGATGCGGGAATTTTTTCCTCCCTGTGGAGAGATTTAATGGATTTGTGGCATTCTGAATGATTTGGCAAGAAATCAGAGGTACCAGTGCAGTCACCCACAAAGGGCACTTAGTTTCTTGCATGTGATAGTCACCACCACAAAATATTTTCTGTAAGAGCCCAGAATGATTGATGCAACCCACCGTAAGTCATGACAAGGTGTCAACTGAAAAACTGGAAAAAGAAGTGGTTAAAGACACCACAGCTTTAAAAACAAATTTGACTTTTAGAGACGGGTTATTTCCTTTTAGAAAAAAAGTTAGAACTGCCACCTGCAAGAAATTTAGATCAGTTGTTTGTGGCAAAGGCCATCATAGTTTGAGGCCACGGAGAGCTCCTACTGCTCTCTGTGTGGAGCAGATTAAACTGTTCCCACACAGTGATAAATATATTGCAAAGAGCCATAACAGGAATACAGTAAGTTGTAGCAGTTAATGGTACAACTTCCAGTTAAAACAATATTCTTAGGATTTCTTTGGCCAATTCCCATTTTATGTGTCCTATTTTTTTATGTTAATTTTTCACATTTGTAGAATCAATATCTTTCAAAGCTTCATAGGATCAAAGAGGAGAATTAGAGGCAAGACTTCCAGGGAGCTTTACTTGCTGTGTGGGCCTGGGTTAACAGAACATGTTCTGAAAAGTGCAAAAATAATCTATGAAAACAGCAGATGAGTAGGATTAAAAATACCATCAGCTCTAAATTTTCTGTACACGTGGAAGGAAAATGGGGAAATAACCCAAAGCAGTAATTACCCAAAAGGCATTCAGATTTTACTATGGAATGTGGCAGAGAATCTCTTTTCAGAGAAAGTAACTTTTAAGTGTTTTTTAATGCTAGACTTTTGAAGTAAAAGAGTTCT